TGCGCCACCCAGGCGCCCCAGGAGAAGCCATACTTGATTTAACCCCCACGACAGCTCTCAGGGTGAGGCATGAACTTTACCTCCATTCTCCAGATGGGCAGGCTGAGACCTAAAGACAGAGACGCTTGCCCGCGCAGAGGTGGGATTCGAACTCAGGTCTGCCCTGTGCCAAACCCACTCTGGCGGGAGAGGAGGGGGGTGGGGGTGGTTCAGGCTGGCTCTGCCAGGGCGCGGCCTTTGCAGATGGATCTCAAGTGCCCCCTGCTCGGCAGGACGGGCCAGCTCCCACATCGGCCTCGCTGCTGCTCTCTCCCTGGGTTCTGGGAACAGTCGCCCCAGGGGCACAGTCACAAGGGTCCCCTCCGGACACCTTCACAGCGGTTACTGCCCACTGCAGAGGGAAGCGGGGCTTCCTGCCCGTCTGGGGGCTGAGCCCTTCTCTGTCCACCTGCCAGGTCCAGGCATGGCGGCCGTGAGTGTGAACCCAGTGCCCAGCACAGGGTGGGGGCCTCGGCTGTGGTTGTCCCATTGCATGGAAAACCCCAGAGGCGAGCGTGTTTGGTGACCTCCCAACCCCCCTCGCAGATACAGAGGAGATGAATCCTGCTGGATGGGACTCACTTGTCTCTCACAACCTCTGATTTCTTTGCTTCAGGCCGCAGCAGGCACCAGGGGTCCGAGGATGTCTGTCCCTGCTGGGGGTGGGGGGGAGAGTGGGGAGGATCGGCTCAGGCTGCCCGAGGGTGAGGTTAGGAGGGGATCGAATCTTCTCCGGGAGCCTGAGCCGGGGAGGCTGAGCGGCCCTGCGGAAGCTTTGGGGATGTGCCCGTGAAGCTGCCCTGGTTAGAGAGGGCGGACGGAACAGGTGAAGGAGCAGAAGACAAGTGAGGGGCAAAGGCAGGAGGGGACAGAAGACCTGACGTCACCAAACTTTACACTTAAAAGTGGCTAAGATGGTAAATTTCACGTTCTGTGCCTTCCGCCACAATTACAGAGGGAGCGAGGGAGGGAGGGAGGGAGGGGCGTCAGGCTGTACCTTTATAGGTCTCGACTTTTATCCGAGGACAAGGACCCGTGGCCAAGTTTTCACTCCCCAAAGACAGAATGAAAATAATGGTGCTAATAAGGGCAGATGCCTGGAGGTTTGCGCTTTGTAGGATTTTATTTCATCTAAGTGCCGGCTCTTTATTCTCGGAGTATATCCTTCCTCTTGTTGGGCGTCCCGTGGCCTCTAGGAACGAGGGAGGGGAGAGAACAGCTGTATCTTCCTTTAGGTATGTTTTCTGAGTCTTTAGAAGACAAAAATGGCCAACTCTCTGCTGTTTTCCCCAAATGCAGTGTTCTTTCTGGAAGGACAGGAGAGCCCTGCCAGAAAAGGCTGGGAGAAGGGAGGGGTGCAGCTTGAGAAGTGCCTTGGGCTGGACTCTCAGGGAGGGAGGAAAGAGAAGCAGGATGAGGACAGGGTGGGGGTTGGGTGCAGTTTCTTGCGACAGGGCCGAGGAGGGGCCGGGAGCCTGCCAGCTGTGGCCTTGGAGAGACGGACGGAGGGCCGCTAGCACGGCACTCCCGATGGCCCTTCAGGAGCCCGTGTCTGTCGCTTTCTGTCTGGCCAACTGGGCAGAAATGCCCTGTGCTGCTTTGCTCTTTAACTCAACGCAACAGGTGTTCTCGAGTCCCTCGTCGGTGCCAGGCTCGTGCTGGAGAATTCAGGTGAATAAAGCCCCAGGCCCGCCCTCCAGGAGCTCACAGCCCAGGGGAGGGAGGGGAAGATGCCAAACCAAGTGAAGTCCTTGCTCTTGACCTTGCCCATCTGCCCTCCCGGAGCAGGGGGCAGACCCACCGTCACCGAAGCTGGTAGGGCACGCAGTGGGATAGCCGAGGACGTGGTCCTCGTGTGCCTTGCCGTCCCTTGAAGGTCACCGTGCCGCTGTGAGCCAACCTGAGCGGAAGGGGGGGTCAGGATCAGGGTGGCAGGATGAGGAGAGGACGTAGGCACGACAGAAGGAGCCGGGAGGAGAAACGGATGGCCTGGGCTCAGGACGGAGGCGTGGTCCCTTGGGCGGTGCTTTATCTTGGAGAGGGCTTCTAGAAGTTTCCGGCGAGGCCCAGGGCTAAGGCCAGGGATGTGCAAGCCCTCAAACACTGCGTGTTTATTGTTACTTCTGTTACTGGCACAGTTACTCGTCTGCAGTCATGGGTCACGGTAAAAGTCTGTGGTTGGAGATACCAAACTGAGAAGCCCACTCTTCCCCGCTGGAGGTTTTCCGGCTTGGTAACGTACATTCCAGGCATCAGTTTGGCCAAGAATTAGGATAATCATGCCCTCCCCCACCTCCCACCCACTGTTAGTCCCTGGAGCAGGGGAACTGAGCGGTCCCCTGAGGGAGGCTGCGCCTGGGGCAGAGGGGGCGGGGGAGGGGTCCTTCGCGTCCTGAGGTGCCCACAGCTTCCTTTGAAACCTGTTACTGGAGCGGCTCTCGCTGGCAGTGGCATGGAGACCTCCAGTGAGCCTCTCGTATCCCTGGCCCAGCCAGGACGGTGCCCTAATTCTTTCTCTCGTGGGACCTCAGCCACTCCAGCGGGCCTCCCCCGACTCCGCTCCTGTCACCCAGTCTGATGGTCGCCAGGCCCGGTCAGCACCACGGAGAGGTGGCGAGGCCGTGAGCTGTGAGCTCAGCACAGGCCCAGCACTACATACGTGGATTTCTCTTACTGCATCCATGGCAGACATTGAGAGTTGATCACCGAGCCGTTCCCCTCCCCCTGTCAATCCTGCACAGACCTCACAATCCTTCTGGAAACCACCCAGGCAGCTGCTGCCAATCAATCCTATTTGTCATGTGAAAAATACATGTTTGACCTCTTTGTCCCTGATACCAGCCCCCCTCAGCAAACTCTCAACTCTGGCCTCCACCCACCCCCCCTTTTTTAAATTTTAAAATTAGGACGTTCTCAGGGCGCCTGGGTGGCTCAGCCCGTTAAACGTCGGACTCTTGGTCTCGGCTCAGGTCATGATTTCACAATTCGGGAGATCGAGCCCCGCATGGGGCTCTGTGCTGACAGCTCAGAGCCCCCTTGGGATTCTCTCCTCTCTCTCTCCGTCTCTCAAAAATGAATAAACGTGAAAAAATATTAAAAGCAAAATAAAATTAGGACGTTTCCAATCAAAAATCTCTCTCCTTAGTTTCGTACATGGGGGATACAAGGTAACCCCAGAGAGCAGATCATGGGGAGGAATTACCACATAGAACTTTTAGGGGAAGCAAAATGAGGAGAAAAT